AAAATTAATCAAAAACTTAAGTAAAATAAAATAGTAATTGCTTCCAAAAAAATGTTTTTATCTTTATTTTCAACGATGTAAAATTATCAAATTTTTTTTAATCATAACCGACTAATAACCATCATATCAATATCAAACAATAATTCATATATTTATAATTATAATCACGGCTAATGGATACAATTATTTAAAGCTATCAACGTTATGGACACAGTCCACAGATATTTTTATAATATTATCTGTAGTTATGGTTGACTTGAGGGACTGCCGATTATAAGAATGATATTGTATTTATTGTATAGACAGCGGCTTCAAAAACAAAACAGTTTTCACAGATGCCTTATCACAATCAATTAGATTTGGTAGCAAACAGCGACATTCATAAGGATTTGCAGATTCTATAGTCAGTAAATTATTTTATATTTATGAAATTATGTAATACATTACTATTCAGAATATATTCTTAGTAAAAAAGATTTTATTTAATTAGCAATTGTCTTATAATAATAATCGTTAGAAAAATGTATTAGATCAATTTTTTTTATTGCTTACAGGGCAAACAGAACGAAATTATGTAACAAAAAGTAAGCTCTAACTCAGTGCTTGGAATGAACTCGTTCAAAAAAATCCCTTCCTTTGATTTCGTTCCATTTTTAGGAACTTATCAGGAACGTAGTTCCTTTTTCACGTTTAGGAAAGTGGTACTGGAATTTCGTTCACTTTTTAGAGGAACATGAACGATTTTTTTCGTTCCTTTCTTGATTCATTTATTTTTTAAATAAAAGTAATTAAATCATTTTTAAAACTAAAAGGAAAAAAATGTATAGCTTCTATTAAAATTTAGTAACTTATATGAAGATCTATAAAAATAAACCTGTATACGATATTATTGATGATGTTTACAAAATATAAATTCTGTATTTCTGTCGCAGAGGTTTATTTATACAGCTTATTAATTATATAAGTTAAAACTATTACTAAATGTCTAAATAACAATGTTTTATGTTTAAAATTTTAAAATTAAAACAATATAGTAGAAAAATGTACGATGTACTTATGTTTTTTTTTATTTTATTTTAAGTCACATTAAAAAGGAACGAGGAAAGGAACTAATTCCTATCTCCAGGGTAGGAACGGTAAAGGATTTAGTTCCTTTTTTAAAGGAACTTTCTAAGTACTGTAACTCCATCTCATCCTGATGCAATATGTCTAAAATCCTTTTTCTGGGGGGGGGGGGGCTAGATAAATAAATCGAAATACAAAGGCGCGGTGATATACCGCAAGACCCACCATAAGTTAATTTTATGTTTGTTTAGAAATTTTTTTTTTTTGAGCTTATGTGCTAAGCGTATACCCTAGAAAAAAATTACCAATACATCACTGACCCTTACCCACCACAAACTACCCCACCTTAAGGTCACGTGCGTAGTCACGACGAAATAGCCCTCTGCGCCACGAAAACGTGTCACCACTCACCTACTCTAATTTGAGTAGGTACCTAATACATTGTTAACTTATATGATAATATTATACTGGAGCTCACCATGCTAGTATTTATACATAAATCAAACGCCTGTTTAAATATTAATGCATAAGTTTGACTACCATCATAGGCATAAATATCCTACATTTCTGAGTGAACCTAAGTCCGCCATACATCATTATATTGATTGATAAAAAAAAGCGGTGCCCCACTCTCCACAACTATGGTCGTCGACTTACAAATTGTTATTTGTATCATTTACACTAGGCATTTACACTTTGTCAGCTACGACGTTTGTTTATAACATATACAACTATAATGAGTAAAAATATTGAATCGCGGTAAAAAAGTCCGATGTAAAAAAGTCCTAGGAAAAAAAGTCCAAGTAAAAAAGTCCGAGGCATAAAAAGTCCGGTGAATATTATATTATATAGTATATACATAACAATATTTATATTCACTGATTATAATTATGTACTTAGTATAATAACATAAAATATACATAATACATCAATTAATTAATTAAATTGAGTATTAACTATCGTCATATAAAATATTATACAAAAAAATATACTAACAAAACGTCGAACTATACTGACAAAAATTACAACTGTTCAGTTACCTATGTACGATATGTAGGTACACGGTGGAGTATGTCCACCACCTATAGATAATAAATATCTCTATCTATATTAATTAGGTATATCGGATGTATATCAGATATAGGTACGCGTAAAACTCGACAAACCAGATAATTAAGATAAAAGAAATAGTAATTGATTATTACACGCAACTAAAAGTCAAGCAGTGTTCAAAGTCCAAAAAGTAGTTATTGGTACCTACATACGAGATTATTAAATTTATTAATTTTGTACGTGTCGCCGGGCGGAATTTTTCTCCGGGCAAGTCACGATTAAGTTAGATACCTACTGGTGCCCAATTCGAAAATTCTGCCATAAACCCTAACCTAACCCAATGCCCTATGTTGCCGAGGGTTACCCAATAAAAAAAAAAAAAAATTATTAATTTTGTCAGGTAAATAATTTAGTTACAATTTATATTTATACTAATTGGAAGTTTGATTGTGCATCACATGGTATTTTTCCTTTTATCTAATTATATGTACCGGACTTTTTCACCGTGGACTTTTTATATTTCGGACTTTTCCACCGTTGACTTTTTATACCTCGGACTTTTTAACCACGGACTTTTTTTCCTAGGACTTTTTTACCTCGGACTTTTTGGTAGTATACCGATAAATATACATCTGTGTGAAAATGTTAGGTACCTACACGGTTTGGACATATTATACTCATTACTCATATTATATGATATTATAAACTATATGATATATACCTACCTACTCATATATGATGTGGTATACCACATTTTTAACGAAAAAATAAAAAACAATTATACTTAAGGTTCACTTCTGGATTTTCCCCACCATGAAATTTTGGAACGTAACATCGGCAACCTTTTTAGTTGTGCGGACCACCGATTTTGTACAACAACCTTTGAAGCCCACTAATAGCACAACTATAATATACGTATGCATATAATAGGTATATATATATATATATATATTATATGCATATATATATATATGTTACCGCCAATTTTGATAATATTAGGCATTGTTAAAAATGGCTAGTCTATGTTGACCCTGCCTGTTTTTCATCGGCATTGATGTTATTGGCTAGTCATTTTAGAGAATGCCTGACTAAGATGACGTGGACCGCATTAGTAGCAAGTACAATGTAAGTACCTACCTATACCTATTGCGAATTGAAAAAAAAAATGTATGTATAATGCGGATATTATTATGTTTACTAATCTAATATGTACATATATTTAATTTTAACTCTCCACAATTTAGTTTTCAATGGTTTTGACATTTGACATGTCTTATTGCACCATAAATCACGAGAACAGTTGATTATAATATTTATTAGGTATTTAATTTGATATTCCTCTAAAACCGTACCTTCGCAGAACGTTTCCTATTAACTATATAGGTTTTATAAAGAATTTAATATTGTACAAAAACTGTTCAATTTGAATATACTTATTAGTTATTACTTATTACTATATTTTAGAATTTACATTAGAATATAATATTATGAAAAATTCCTTATTTTACAATTGATAGGTCATAAATTGTATTTATTATAGGTTCTAGCTCTTTAAAAATGTTTACTCTGGAATTAGCCATCAAAAATATTTTTTTGAAGTTTGAAATAACTCGATCGATTTTTGGGAAATTTTTTCTAATTGACCTGTCCTAAAATAGTATCGGCCTAAAGTTAATTAAATAATCGTAGATTCCGACAACAAACAATAAAGATAATGAACGTCAATAATCGACATGCTAATGGAAACTGAATGTGTCACAATAAAGTGTAACTTTCAACAAGAAAAATGCAAATAAATGTAAAACAAAAGTACAAAAATGAATAAAATGCACCAAAAATACTAAAAAATAACCTTAGAGCAATAAATTACCTAAAAATGCAAAATAAAAATTGTACCATTAAATTCTATATTCCATGAATCAAATTTCTGTTAAGACGAGCCTCGTATGTAATCATTAGAAAAAAAGATGCAAATGTATCAAGTTCCGGGCCCTAGTAATGACTATTGTTATGCAAATTTGTACGAACTGTACATTTTTTTTACACCTTTTTCAAATTTTTCAAGAAATTCGATTTCAAAAAAACTTCAATAAGAAATCAAACATATTTTCAGATATTTTATTATATAACACTATACCAGGTTAGTTATTGAAATTTCCAAATAATTGATACTTTTAGACAAAAAAAATATATAATATAATCGTGTAGCTCGTTTTTCTCATTTGCGGAAGCACTCCGATATCTCTTATACGTACTAATGATCACTTACTATAGTTACTGCGCATCCATTTACACAACATGCACGTACCTAGGTACTAAATTTCCTATACCTAATTCCTTAAAAATTGAGTTAAAAATGTAATCCTCTCAAGTATACAAATATATTTTGAGCATATTATTAGGTATATAATATAACTAGATGACTACAACTGGATTTGCTATATTATATTGAAATAATATAGTTTTCAGACCACTATTTTTAAAAAAATGTTAGTTTCGGAGTACCTACTAGACAGGTTAATTAGTGGCTAATTTGTATAAAGAAAAATGTCTATTATGAACATTATATAAAATAGAAATAGAAAAGTCTGCCCGAAATGTATCAAATGTTTGTCGAGACTGTGTAAATGAAAATAATGTTAGAAAAAAATTACAGGTTGTTTAAAACAGAAAAATTGTTTTAAAAATAAAACATATTATGCTTTAGAATCCACAGTTTATTGTCAATAAAGTTTAAAAGTTATTGTAAAATGCATGCAATAAATATAATATATAATAGTATAAATATTAAATACAATGTTTGGCATGAAATATTGAGAAAAAAAAAATGTTTAAGTTGAATTAGTGAATTCTTTAATAATTTTGTTTCGTAGAGAAGTTGTCTATCCTGCCAAGAACCCGCCATCAACTACGAGGGACGTTCCATTAACCATGGTAGAATAGTCACTGAGCATGAAAATCACAGCGTTCGCAATGTCATCGGTTTCTAAAATATAAAATTAACCAAAGATTGAATATTATAATATATTTTTGTCGAACGAGTGTGCGCATTGAGAAAAGTTTTCATTTCTGCACACTCTTAGAATTCCATTGAACACAAACCTGCAAATCTTCCAAGTGGGATTCGTCTCATTATGGGTTCGGATTTTTCGGGATCTGACCAAGCAATTTTACCCATACTGGTCAACACGACAGTTGGATTTACGCTGTTAGTACGAATCCCACATTTACCCAGCTCGATTGCCATTGTTCTGGTTATTTGATTCACAGCTCCTTTAGATGCACAGTATGTTGTATGATCGGGTATGGCTCTCTAGAAAGTAAACATAAATATTGTAAAACATATCTTAGTCCAGTGATAATATCATGAGACACAACCATCTATAACCTAATCTGACCAGTGACCGTTATAAGACTTGTTTAAATTGTGTTTTTTTTTTAACATTTATAAATAAATTGATATATCAAGTATAACGTTCATACAACATTTGATACACGTACACAATTTAGAATATTAAAAGTCATTACTCATTACGCTCCAAATTCATTTAATCAAAAAATATTGATATTTAAAAAAATTCTAAATACTACTTGACTTAGAGGTAAATGTTTTTACTATAAGAATTGTTCTTATAATCATATTCACAAATTGGCTATTTTGAATATAACCAAAAAAATTTAAAATTTGTTATTTTCAGTGTTAAAAAATAAAAATACATTTTTGTAGAATATACATGTAGCACAAGTAAATAAAAAATTTTAAATATTGATTAGAACAAAAGTTATTTCAGAAGTCCTTTCTATCTGCTCTACCCTGTATACATCTTATTTATAGCCATATTGGTAATATACTATAGACGATAGTTTTCTTGACCAATATTATAGTATATATTTCATTATTTTAACTTACCGTTGAAATTGTTGAAGAAATATTCACAATTGATCCTTTGATACCGGCATTAATCATGTTTTTGGCCACTGCCTGACTTATTCTCACTAAGGCTCTGGCATTAACATTCAGAGTCCTGAACAAAAAATATTGTCATATTAATAGATATGGTGATTTGTTTTCATGTATAATAATTAAACATTTTTCATTAGTCGTGCCTCATACAAGATCTACATTATATGTTTCAAAATCATTTTGATAGTATTGCTAGTGTTTAATCCAGCATAAAACTATATAAAATATGTATTTAGGAATCGCTAAAAATTTGAATATAAGTTTGAAGGATCGCCACAGTTAGAACAATGATTTAAAAACGGAAAATTAATTTTATGAACATTTAGAGGAAAGAGAGCTACAGAACTGACAAGGAAAGCTAATTTTAAGTTAGAATAATCATATAAAACATACTTGACGTAAATTCAGAATTCAAATCTTATATGCAAACAGATGATATAGGTACTTACGTCTTATTAACGGGTTTAATACTAGGTATATGCAGTGGCATAGGAACATGAGGAGGAGGAATGGGCAACGAGCAAAAAAATTAACCCAAACGAGATATTATTTTAAAACTATGATGTACACAAATGTTGTATTAATTTTTGATGACTGAAAAAATGTGTACATACGCATTTGTTCCCAATATTTCTCCTAATTTCCAAGTAAGTAACATATCTTTTTGTGCCCAAATGTGTTACAGCCATTATTTTTACAAAACTGATGAAAAATTGCTATAGAGATGCTATTTTTAATTAGTTTGACATTGCCTATATTTATGTTATAATTTTATTCTTTTTTTTTTTTTTTTGGTTTATCAAATAATAAAACAGTTCATGGTTTTTTTTTTTGCTTTGCCTCCCTCCTAAATTCCAAAATCCTAGCTATGCCACTAGGTATATGAGAAAAACTAAGATTTTACTAACTTATCCCAACCATTTTCAGAGACTTCAAAAAATGGTTCAATAACAGCTACACCAGCATTGTTGACCAATCCATGTACTGGTCCGATGTCGTACATTTTCTTATAAGTGTCATCCCATTTTGAAACATCACAAAATATTTGTTTTGTGTTCGGTAATGCTTTAGCAGCTCCTTCCTCTTTCTCTACCACTGCGTAGACAAATGCGCCCAAATCTAGTAATCTCTCTGTAATTTTTTCGCCCATTCCTAAAAATAAAATAGGTTAGGTTTATTATTATTTATCAAATAGTAAACACGAATTAGCTTTAAAAAACAAGTTCATTGTTAGTAATCTTAAAACTTATAATTAATTATAATCATTTATAACTAATCAAAAATTAAAGTGGTTATAACATTAAATATTATAGTATTATTATAAAAATATCTTTAAAAAATAAATAGGTAGGTAGGTATGTATTATATTTCATTCTTAAACCTAAAACTAAATTATATAACAGTAAATAAATAGTTAAATATCTTGTTAGGAGTCAATATTAGGTATATTAACACACAATTCAAGATAAGAAAATAATATTTTAATTTATTGTTATAATAATTTTAATGAGACAGATCCTGTCTTTTTGAGATAAAGAATTTTAAAATGTAGAGGTTTAATTCCAGATAATGAACAGACTAATAATGTAGGTTCAAGTAATGTCAAGGGCAATGAACTATTCAAATGTTCTTCATCTTATCGGAGTTTTTATGAGATTCAAGTTATGGAAACTGCACTGAAATCTAAAGCACTTATCATAGGTAGTTACAATTTTCACAAAAAAAAAAACTACTAAATTTTGCTTGGAACTGCAATATTTTTTTATGAATGCCTGATTTTGATTTTATTTGTTGTTTAAGAATATATTAAGTTCTGATACACAAATTACTATTGAGTTGATTTTAATTTGTTAAAGCTTCCATTTAACAAAATTTTCTGTTTAGTGATATATTTTTAAGGAAAAAATGTATTTAAGTCTATTCAACTTATTTCCCAATATTATACATTTTTTTTGTTGCTCACATGTCTTTGTAATATGGAAGTTTCACTATAAATATGCATTTTAAATGAATAATATTAGAGTAGAGTATCAGGGAATACTCCATGACACCCATCTAAATGTATCTACATATTAGAAAGTACTAAAATTTAGTGGTCACATAATAAACATTTAAACGTTCAGATAAATATTTTCAGAACATAAAATTACAAATATATCGTAGGTTAACATAACCAAAAAAAAATGAATGTACAATTATTAATAACTAAACATACATATTAATTTCTCATAGTCATACATTTTTGATGATATGTTAAATACTTGAGCATTAAACTAGATATAGATATTATAGTATTATATCATATGTAAGTATGTGACTGTGTTTCACTTTCACATATATTTTTTAATATTAGCTATTATTTAATTGTGTAACAAACCAGCACAAGATCCAGTGACTATAATTTTTTTGTCTTTGAAATAATCTTCCATTTTTTGTGGTCCTTTACATGCCATACCTCTAGTAAAGCTCCTCACCATCTTATGCTGGAGAAACGCAGTACTATTTTTTCGTATGATACAAAACATTTTGAATATTTTGTTAGAGCAACTTTCAGCCTTATTTCTCTATAACAAAATAAACATAAAATAAGCTCATAGGTACATATATTAATTATAATCAGTTATACTATATTCATGTAGTAATTTTCTTAATGTTTGTATTATCTACAACTTTAACATATTTCCTGTTATAGACATTAACTGTTATGTCACTCATGTATATGAATATAATAATTACCTATATAAATATAACAGTAAGTAAGTACCTAAGTATTATAATAATATAATTAGCTTTTAAAAAAAACATTGGTTCAGCATTAAACTGTTTAAAGTAGGCACCTATAATCATATAACATAATTGATTTATGTTTTAATAAGCAAATTGTATTGTATCAATTCTTGGGGAACACTTACAAGCTACAACTATAAATTTACGAAAAGTAATGGCAGAAGATAATCTAACATTTACATAATAAATATGCATTGTAAAAATATATTAAATGAAATTTATAATTTATTCTGTTTGGTTGAATTAGATAAAATATAAATACCTATACATGACATAATTTGAACTATAATATTTAACAACATAGGTAGGTATTTTTTTGAATGCTAATGAATCAAACTTTTTTAAATAATAATATATCTAAATCGATACTATCGTAATACAAAAAAAACTTACCAAGTACAAACAAAGGAAACAAAATGAAGAATGTGGATTACACTACTTGCCGAATAGTCTGAAGAGTGAAGACTGAAATTAACAAAAGAAAAATGTGGCATAAATGCGTTACAACAAACGTAATAAACGCATGAAAGCAGGCTGTCCCAATGATAAATTGGTAAAATCCCCAGAAAAGTAAATTGTAAATCAGCTAAGTAGACGTGCTCTGGTGGATAATGACCAGGCTACCTACTGAAAGTAGCTGATGAAATATTATAGACAACTGATAAGAATGTAAATACCTATTATATTATGTTCATGGTAAATGCCTAGCTATTAGGCTATTTACAATTTACATTATGTAATATCAAGAATAGTCGGCTCGATACATAATAATTAATGGTAACTAATACTAGAAACGTATTGATACTTGATAGCTTAGGAAACTATGGTAATTCCTGATACCTGGCACAGTAAAGAAATTAATAATTATAATACCATTTCCTGGGAAATATGAATTAGAATAAACACATAATAATATGTATGTGTGTAATTAAATATTATCGAACAGTTTTTCAAAACAATTTTATTTGAATCATCTCAATCTCTTGGCAACCTGTGAAAGTTATTGGTTGTATTTCTAAATCGAAAGAAGACGAGTTAACTAAAATGTTCGGGAGACGGCTACTATAAATAGTAGGTAATTCAGGGCACAAGAATGGCATAAGTGAAGTTTAGCTTCCAAGCGATCTTTTGAAATTATTTTTTTCAAAATGTATTTTCCATGCTTAATTTGATGGTACTTTTAAAAAAGTCGCTCAAACTTCTTCGGAAGTTATGGGCAAAAATCTTCCAAATTCTCAATTTTTTCAAAAGTATAAAGGTTAATTTATAATACATTTTTTTTATTGTATTATGTACTAGGTTGGTACTTATTTAATCAATATTATTTCAATATTAAGTTGAAGTACCTAGATGACGTGTTGTGTTTTTAATTTATTTACTACCTACCTATTCATGTTAATTTGCTGTAGATGCCAGGTACAATATTTATAAGTATATTTTCTCCCTCGCCCTTTTCAAGACCTTTATACCTATATAGTATCAAATAAGACATTTTAAATTTTTTTAGTTTTTAAAATTTTCTATACATTTCAATAAAATGGTATTTGTTGTTTTAAAATGCTTTAAAAATTAATACAAGGCTCCTGATAAATTGTTACAATAGCAGTTGAAAATTATTAAAAATACAAATAGGCACACTTTTTTATGATCGTTGAAAGTTCGAACATTGACAAAATTTGTATCAAATTTAAAATTTAAAAAAGATTTTGTAGTCAAACATTTATAAAATATTCAAATCGTACGGCTAAGGATTGAAAATTTAAAACAAGTAGGTTGTTAATTGTGTAACCAAAAATCTAAAAGTATACATAAACATAGTTTTTTTACAGTTATTTTAAGTTAAAATTTGAACGAAATGGTATATTAAATAACCAAAAGTAACGATTTTTGAAATTTTTTTGTAATTTTGTAGTATTAATTTAACTTACCGGCTACCGTATTAAGGGGATTCGATACCGTGATTTTCTGTTTTTGTCTAATACACGCTCGACATAGTATTTTAGACGTGTTTTTTGCCAAACATACCAATTGATCTAATGAAGCGATAAGAATTCTGAAAACAGATTTGAATTTTTCGTCAAGTCTACTTGAAATCGACTTTCCCACATTTTTGATATTATCCCCCAAATTTTTTAAAATGTTATATTCAAAAAGAGTATTTAAAAATTCTGGTATTTCAATTATTGGAGAAGTTAAAATCAAAAAATCAAAAATGTCGGAAAGTGGATTTCAAGTAGACTTGACGACAAATTCAAATCTGTTTTCAGAAATCTTATCGCTTTAATAGATCAATTGGAATGTTTGGCAAAAAACACGTCTAAAATACTATGTCGCCCGTGTGTTAGACAAGAACAGAAAATCACGGTATCGAATCCCCTTTTAATGATAATTAATAAGTAATAACATTTTAAGTATAATTTAAAATATCCTAGACTGACGAACCGTCTTCGCTCAAAATCGTTTTTCGTATACATACAGTGTTATTAATTATTATAATAGGTATCATTAAATTAAAATGTAATACCAATTACCATATATTATACAGTGACCACTTTTGACCTTCTGAACAGCAAAGCAACATCTACAAACCCACTATTTAGTATTTTTACTTATTTTTTTTTCTCTGTTTGGGATGGAACAAGGAATTATTCAATTTCTATGACAACGACGAAGAAACGAATTCATTTTTTTTTTATACAGAATGTGCTAAGGTTATAATATTGTTAGTTATTTAAATAAAATTGCTTTTTTGTTAATTCAAGTTGGTATTGTTATATATTATTCAATTATTTCTAAATTGTTAAAGTTTGTTAGCCTGGGCTCGTAACCCACTTAAAGCATAATATATAATTTTTTTCATACATTTTTAACGCTATTATTTTGCTTCAAAATTTAAATATCTTAAAAATCCTACATAGGGCTCTGGATAATATTCTTTTCTTTAAATTGATTCTTCTGAACGTATAGGTAATTGGTGTATATTATGGCAGTTAGGCTTTATACGACTAACTTCACATAGGTAGTTAACGTAGGTACATATTATACGTCAAGTGTGTAAATGCTTATTTTCTTTAATGAGTGTAGAATGTATAGATTAGAAACTGGTTTGTACTAAACTAGTTATTATAACCTAACGTCCTTACCTAACCTTCAATATTAAAAGAAATTTTTTTTTATTCCTTGTTTGTCGTTGTATTATATGAACTTAATATTATCTAACTCATTATAATGGCTTATTGATTTAAAATATAATGATTTTCAGTTTCATTAAATCAATAAAATGTAGTTACCTATTAAAATTAATGAGGATTAATGTATTTAATACCGTAAAAAATAGTATTATTAAAAAATAAAAAATAAACTATTATATAGTGTAGGTACTATGTAAATAAAATTACGGCTCTTGTACTTTTAAAACATATACGTAAATAACGGCCTGGGATATTCCGATTTCCGGTCGGTTGTACAATTTAGAGATAAGTATTCATCTTTGATTGATTAATGTAAATATTAATATGTTCACTAATATAATATTTCTAGCTGCTATAGACCATATAATATGCATTTAATATTGTAGCTATTGTACGTGTTTTTATTTTGCTCTACAGTTTACTACAGTGTGTATTATTCAATGTAATAAAAATTAACGTTATGAAAATCGAAAGGAATATAACGTTGAAATTGGTGGATGGTTTCAAATTTTGTTTTCACTAATTTTTAAACTAAATTATATTAAACGTGGGTGTTGAAAAGTTACAACGTGGAAGTTTATTTGACATTTAGTGATAAAAATATTTGTATAAATGGTTTTAAAGATCACAATTCACATTTAGATACTTAAGGACATAAATAATAGGTATATTATTTTACGACACAGGTATTATTTATTCATTTATTTCTAAACAGCTTAAAGGACCTAGGTCTTATTTAATAATATAATAGTACCTATATGAATCACATAAATCGTTTTATAAAAAATTAAACAGTTCATTCAATTCATCACACCCAAACATATTTAATTTCATTGATATTTAAAAAAAACATGCAATGTAATATTATGTACCTATATCATGTTGAGAAGTTAAGAAAAGTTAACAAGAAACTTGTATATATAAATTAATTTTGCCCCAAATGCGGGATGAATAGAAACCCATATTTATACATTTAAAAATAAAAGGTTAACATAATATGACTAATATAATATGTTTGAAGATATTATTTCAGTATAATATTCTCCGACTGCTAATGCGGGCTACTAAATTTGGTATTAATTGTATTCATATTATAAAGACAATAAGACTGACCAGTCATATAATATAGCTTAGGTATCCACCTATATTATTAATTTATATTGAGAATTCATAATATTTTAGATTCCGAGTGGAGCGATGAATATAATATTGATTTTACAATGATGTGTGATATTAGTATATTACTTTAGGAACCACTTGGATATTGAGTATTGTTCAGTTTTACGAGAGACTTCACTGACCTTGAATTGCTTCCAACAGTACGATAATACATCGTCGGAGAGCGAGGGTACCGTGTGTGTGTGTGTGTGTGTGTGTGTGTGTGTGTGGCCAAGTAAATTCCTCGGCATATTAGGTAGGTATGTTGTATTTTGTTAGACCGAAAAAAATACTTATATAGTTGTATAAAATAATATAGGTACCAACTGAACTGGTCTCCA